ACGGCTGCCCCAGGGACCCCACAGCAGCCTGGACCCTCACCCAGCAGTGCCTTAATTGGGCTTCGTGTCTTCCCACCCCTATAGTGTTGCTGCCTGGAGACTCCTGGAGCTGTGGGGTGGGATGTGGTGGGTTCACAGGGAAACCCCAACTCCTCCATCCCACCACAGCCCTCGCCTGGGATATCCCTTCAGCTTCCCACACCCAGCCAGGCTCACAGGAGCTCTCTGGCCCTTTAGCCAGCACTTCCCCAGGAGACTTATGTTTCTCTTCAGCACCAGCTACTTCCTTCTTCCTTTCACTTCCACCTTTTGTCACACAAAAAAAAAAAGTCTTTCGAAAATGACAGATAAGTTTTATATTCCCATCATCTCAGCACTCCTCGTTTCCTCATCTTTCAGCTGCTCTCCTCTCGCTTCCTCCCTTCGCGCTCCTCAAAGGCTGAAGCAATAATAATCTTGCTCCCTTTGGTGGGGTGATTGCCACCACCCGCCTTCACTCCACAGGGGTGTCTATTTCCCCCGTGGTACAGGAGTCTGTGGGGGAAAACATCCCCAAGGCATCACTGACTAAAAGCAAGAGATGCAGTCCCTGCTGATCAACTACAGCAGCTCAACCACGGCTGCTGATTTAAGCCATCTGGGTAACCCTCCCTGAGCACAGTGGGGCGAGAAACCAACTTGGAGCGGGGAAAGGGAGGGAATTAAGTCATCTCAAGAGTTTCCACCACCACGCACTGTCATCTGGAGACACCAAAACCCTGGGGGGCTTCCAAGCACAGGGCCCGTGGGAAGGCACCCTGGGATAGCTTCCCAGGATGTGGGATCCTGGGGAAATTATAGAGGCAACTCAACGGGGACACCAGCCCTGCATCTGTGGCACCGTGGGGAGCTGCTGCTGGCACCCACAGCAGCCGTGGGGATGGAGCAGGCAGTAGGAGGAACAAGGGAGAGAGGACTGCCAGAGGGCCAGGGGGGATTAGCAATGGGAGAGAGCAAAAAGGGAACTGGATTGAAAGGATAACACACCTCTACCTACTGTAAATCTGCTGGGAATTGTAAACCTGGTGTCCCCCTCAAAGCAAGCCTAGCGACATCAGACCACATGCAAGACATGAAGGAGATAATCACTGCCTCACCACCATCCCCAATGCCTGCCCATGAACCAGGCAGGGAAAAGCCAGGACTGTATTGCCAGGAGATGAAAACTGCTCTCTCAGCAGATGGGACTTCTTGTAGCTACTAAGCATGTCAAAGCAAAATTTCCTCTACACCCATCTACTCAAGTGGCTTCATTTTGCAACGAAACGCTATATTAGTCATCAGGCCAGGCACCAAGAAGGTATCAGAAAAAGGCACTCACCTAGAGGAGAATCAGACCTGCTTTCCACCTTCCCAAGTTGTGAAGGACTTCATACCACTTAGTCATGCATCACAGAGGACAAAAAAGCAAAAAAAAGGCAAAACAAACAAAGGCAAAACTCTGCCCTTGCAATTACATGTACTACTACTCAGCAAGATGCAGAGTGGTTTTCCCTCTCAGGCTTTTGTAGGAGTTAGCAATTAATTATTCTAATTGCAGAAAGCTGGGCCTCCCCCAGGAGCCAGTTCCCTGATAGGACTCTTCTTCCTTGGGCTGCTGGGCATTGGTGGCTCAAAGGGTTCCTCATCACCACTCTGGCCTTAAATAAAAGAACTGAATCACGCCAGAAAAATAAAAAGATGAGACAGAAGGTTGGGGAAGGGGAATAAAAGAAGAGCTTAATTATTTTTCACACATTTAAGTTATGCAGATGGCTCGCAGCGTACGGGATTTCACTTTGGGCTTTTAATAGAAGAAAAACTACGATTCTGTTTCTCAGCCAGAACGACCAAAACAATCTGGGTTTTTTGTATTCTGCACTTGATACCCCTTTTCTTTTTTTTTATTTTTCTCATAATCCTGGGTTTCACCAAGATAATAACTGGCCGGGGAGTGAATATAAAGCCCTGGTGGGGTGAATCAGAGCTGTCAGCACTGTGCTGTGGAGCACTGAGCTCCAGCTGTTGGTGAAGGTGGCTGAGCATCCCGAGGGAAGGATGCGCACGGCTGCCCTGGGCTCCTTGAAGCGTGTGACAGCGACTGCTCGGGGAAGTACTGCCAAAAAATGATGACAGGCCAGGATCAGGGAGGATAAACGCTTTGCCATTCCTCACTAGGAACTATTAGACCTGTAGATACCGATCCAACCACATCTGACCTCCCTCCTTCCCACTGCTCAGGTGGGCAAACCGTGCCATCAGGTGATCCAAACCAAACAAAACCATCAAACAAGCATTATCATCACTTGTCATATTTATATTTTTGATTTTATTTTTAATTTTTATTAAAAAAACCAACCATTATTAAAAACAAATCATTTACTGGAAGGCTTCAGCCAGGGAGAAGTCTCATTTCAATCTCGTGAACAAAACGCAGCACAGTTAAAACCCATAGGCATAAACAAAACCCGATTAAAAAAAAAAAAAAAAAAAAACCTTCCCCAGGAGACTTATGTTTCTCTTCAGCACCAGCTACTTCCTTCTTCCTTTCACTTCCACCTTTTGTCACACAAAAAAAAAAAGTCTTTCGAAAATGACAGATAAGTTTTATATTCCCATCATCTCAGCACTCCTCGTTTCCTCATCTTTCAGCTGCTCTCCTCTCGCTTCCTCCCTTCGCGCTCCTCAAAGGCTGAAGCAATAATAATCTTGCTCCCTTTGGTGGGGTGATTGCCACCACCCGCCTTCACTCCACAGGGGTGTCTATTTCCCCCGTGGTACAGGAATCCGTGGGGGAAAACATCCCCAAGGCATCACTGACTAAAAGCAAGAGATGCAGTCCCTGCTGATCAACTACAGCAGCTCAACCACGGCTGCTGATTTAAGCCATCTGGGTAACCCTCCCTGAGCACAGTGGGGCGAGAAACCAACTTGGAGCGGGGAAAGGGAGGGAATTAAGTCATCTCAAGAGTTTCCACCACCACGCACTGTCATCTGGAGACACCAAAACCCTGGGGGGCTTCCAAGCACAGGGCCCGTGGGAAGGCACCCTGGGATAGCTTCCCAGGATGTGGGATCCTGGGGAAATTATAGAGGCAACTCAACGGGGACACCAGCCCTGCATCTGTGGCACCGTGGGGAGCTGCTGCTGGCACCCACAGCAGCCGTGGGGATGGAGCAGGCAGTAGGAGGAACAAGGGAGAGAGGACTGCCAGAGGGCCAGGGGGGATTAGCAATGGGAGAGAGCAAAAAGGGAACTGGATTGAAAGGATAACACACCTCTACCTACTGTAAATCTGCTGGGAATTGTAAACCTGGTGTCCCCCTCAAAGCAAGCCTAGCGACATCAGACCACATGCAAGACATGAAGGAGATAATCACTGCCTCACCACCATCCCCAATGCCTGCCCATGAACCAGGCAGGGAAAAGCCAGGACTGTATTGCCAGGAGATGAAAACTGCTCTCTCAGCAGATGGGACTTCTTGTAGCTACTAAGCATGTCAAAGCAAAATTTCCTCTACACCCATCTACTCAAGTGGCTTCATTTTGCAACGAAACGCTATATTAGTCATCAGGCCAGGCACCAAGAAGGTATCAGAAAAAGGCACTCACCTAGAGGAGAATCAGACCTGCTTTCCACCTTCCCAAGTTGTGAAGGACTTCATACCACTTAGTCATGCATCACAGAGGACAAAAAAGCAAAAAAAAGGCAAAACAAACAAAGGCAAAACTCTGCCCTTGCAATTACATGTACTACTACTCAGCAAGATGCAGAGTGGTTTTCCCTCTCAGGCTTTTGTAGGAGTTAGCAATTAATTATTCTAATTGCAGAAAGCTGGGCCTCCCCCAGGAGCCAGTTCCCTGATAGGACTCTTCTTCCTTGGGCTGCTGGGCATTGGTGGCTCAAAGGGTTCCTCATCACCACTCTGGCCTTAAATAAAAGAACTGAATCACGCCAGAAAAATAAAAAGATGAGACAGAAGGTTGGGGAAGGGGAATAAAAGAAGAGCTTAATTATGTTTCACACATTTAAGTTATGCAGATGGCTTGCAGCATATGGGATTTCACTTTGGGCTTTTAATAGAAGAAAAACTACGATTCTGTTTCTCAGCCAGAACGACCAAAACAATCTGGGTTTTTTGTATTCTGCACTTGATACCCCTTTTCTTTTTTTTTATTTTTCTCATAATCCTGGGTTTCACCAAGATAATAACTGGCCGGGGAGTGAATATAAAGCCCTGGTGGGGTGAATCAGAGCTGTCAGCACTGTGCTGTGGAGCACTGAGCTCCAGCTGTTGGTGAAGGTGGCTGAGCATCCCGAGGGAAGGATGCGCACGGCTGCCCTGGGCTCCTTGAAGCGTGTGACAGCGACTGCTCGGGGAAGTACTGCCAAAAAATGATGACAGGCCAGGATCAGGGAGGATAAACGCTTTGCCATTCCTCACTAGGAACTATTAGACCTGTAGATACCGATCCAACCACATCTGACCTCCCTCCTTCCCACTGCTCAGGTGGGCAAACCGCGCCATCAGGCGATTCGAACCAAACAAAACAATCAAACAAGCATTATCATCACTTGTCATATTTATATTTTTGATTTTATTTTTAATTTTTATTAAAAAAACCAACCATTATTAAAAACAAATCATTTACTGGAAGGCTTCAGCCAGGGAGAAGTCTCATTTCAATCTCGTGAACAAAACGCAGCACAGTTAAAACCCATAGGCATAAACAAAACCCGATTAAAAAAAAAAAAAAAAAAAAACAGCTCGAACCATAGCTTATAATTATGCAGTTTCCGCAATGTCAATAGAGAGGCTTTTGTTAAAAGCCTTCAATTCAGAATTTCATGGAAGACTTTAAAAACATAGGGGAAGAAGGAAACACATGCTTGTTTAAAAAAAAAAAAAAACCCAGAAAAAAATTTGCTTGCGTAATGGTTAATTAATTCAACAAATTTACTTCCTCCAAAGCAAAAAACCCGATTAAAAAAAAAAAAAAAAAAGAGAACAGCTCGAACCATAGCTTATAATTATGCAGTTTCCGCAATGTCAATAGAGAGGCTTTTGTTAAAAGCCTTCAATTCAGAATTTCATGGAAGACTTTAAAAACATAGGGGAAGAAGGAAACACATGCTTGTTTAAAAAAAAAAAAAAACCCAGAAAAAAATTTGCTTGCGTAATGGTTAATTAATTCAACAAATTTACTTCCTCCAAAGCAATCACTGATCGCCCAGCCATACAGTTGGCCCCTGGTGATGTATTTGCTCAGAAAGCTGAACATACACAATACCTGCCAAGTCATTCTGGCCAAAATTTCCCAGTTCTGGCTCCAGTTTGGTGGGGGATTTCAGTGAGATCATACCTGGCTTCCTGCTTTGGGAGCCTGGAGTTTGCAGTGCCAGTAGGTACCACGAGGATTCTGGAAAGGGGGCTTTAGTTCAGCCCCTTTCGGACCCCCCCTCAGTGAGACAGCACCAAGATGAGCACTAAGCTTCTCTCTGAGCTCCTGAACCCGAGCACAATTTTAGCACCTGCCCTTATATGAACATATCGAGCCCAAAACTGGGTGTGTTAAAAATTGCAAATTAGTGACTACTTTGTAAAAAATCAAAAAAAAAAACAACCAACCCAACCCCAAACTTATCCTCAGTGTGGGAACTTTAAGGTCAAAACCAAATAAAAACGGTTTTAAAATATATACATATATATATGGCTTTCCATTTTTCCTATCCATTTCATTGGAAACAAAAATAAATTTAAGGGTGGTATTTGGTTTTTAGAAACGATTCTGTCCTTCTCTTCAGCCGTCAGACGGAGCGGACGGGATGGAGGTGCTGACTGCGGTTCCTCGCGCTGCGGCTCAGAATCCACCCGAGTTCTCCTTCATCCTCGCCAGTAATCGGGAGTAGACGGGTGCTGCAAGGAGAAGACAGAGTTGGGTGGGACAAAGCAAGCATCTACCTGTCCCCTCCCCTTTCAAACTCCTCTTTAAGGGGCAGGGATGTACAATGGAAATTAGAAACAAGTTAGAGAAGTTGTTTTACCTAGTCGAGGATTCCTCTGAGAAACCTGCATTGGAAGAAAAGACAAGGTTTTCATAAATGCAACAAACCTCTGACAGCTCTAAGAACAGTTTGTATGGCAATATATTTAACCCTGGTCTCCAAAAAACTATGGATGAATGACTCTTCATTATTGGAAGGTGACGTATATAGTACCATGCCAAGGTTACATTCACAGTAGGCTTCATGTTGCAAAATGTATTATTTCTTATATAATCAAATCATGCGAGAAAAGAGGATTGGTCATTCCATGAAACACGTACTCTCACTCTCTTTGGAAATCAAAATCTGTGTGTGACATTACCTTCCAATCATTACTACCAAAATGTAATTTCAGTAGTTCTACAGAGATTTTTTTTTTTTTTTGTCCTTTACCTTGGATAACGCAGACGCCTGTTTGAAGATTTCTAACGCGGGATCCGCAGGCTCGTCACCTCTCTCTTGTGGCCTCAAAGCTAAGGGTGGGACATAGATAGCATTGAAATACTCTTCAAAGCACACAGCCTGCTTCCTTCCAATAGCTTGGAGGATGTGTTGAAAATCCCAGAACAGACTAATCCTCCTCAATAAACTGAAGCAATTGCTATCTGTCACCTCTCCCTCCCAAAGCATCTCTGCTGCGACGGTGCAGCTCTAGATATTGCTACCCAAGGACCTACCCTGAGGCTGTAACACAGAGTTCACAGCATAAATGACACCATTCGTGGCCATGATATCACTTTCAGCAACTGGCTCCTTGTTGATATGTATTACGTGGTTTTTCTGTTCAGGAAAATGAAAAAAAATGTAGAAAATGAGAAACTTTTGTCATCAGTGGTTTCCAATTTTATTTAAAAAAGCCCTCACTTTGCATTCATTCATTTACTTTGTGGCTGTAGGCATTTTCATTCCTCTTGCCAATTAAGGAGAATATAAGAACAAATTACAGCCTGAGCAGTTTGTCCTGGAGTGGCTGGTGGCCTTTGGAGCTGGTGGACTTTCTTGGTGCGGTGGCTGGGAATGCTGTACCATGGCAGAAGAGCACATCCACCAGCTCCCTGGTGGCAGCAGGCACTGCTGCTCATGCCAAGAGGGGTGGCATCGGAGATGGCACCAGGAGATGGCAGGTCAGGGCTGGACACGGGAAGAGTCTAGCATGCAAGTTGGCCAACTCAATGCCCTTGGAAACACTGGCCTTTCCATTTTTATCCTGCATTTTTTTCCTTGCGCACAGAGTGGGTCTTGAGTTATTTATTTTCTGAAATAATTTTTTTTTTCTCAGTAGAGAATTCTATATTTTCTTAATGTCGTGCAGAATTTGTGAAATGAAATTACACATCTAAATAAATCCTGCTGCGTTAAAGGAGCCCATGCCGAGATCGTTTTTGTTACACTAAAAAGATGTGTTAGTTGAACAAGCTATTCGTTTAATTTATTTATGCTTTTTCCCCCATGACTCAGGTTTAAATTTATAACAGCTCCTGGAAATCATTTACAATTGGCCTTCTGGGGAGAAAGCTGAAGCAAACCACATTTCAAGGCTGCCAGCTTGTTGAAATGAAGACATGGCAACATTCCCTCCTCTACAGCCCAAAAAACACTGTTTGGTGGGTCTGTGCACACATGTAGAAGAGGTTCCCACACCATCCAAATGCACACAGACAAACTTTGGTCCTCAAGGTGGACAGCTAAAACACAGCCCCCAGCCCTGCTGACTGCAAACCCCATCTGAGGTGACTCACCATGCTGATCTCCAGTTTATCTCCCTGCATGGACTTCAGCCTCACAAGGGCATTGACCGCGCCGCTCACCAGGATCTCATCAGCGATGTGGAACTTGAGGATGTTGGCAAGCTCCTTGGCATTACCTGGGGGAAGAAAACATTTACATTTGCAAAACAGCATCAGCGCTGGCTTCCCGTATTTCATGTGCTGCAATGACATTACATGGAAAATATCATCATTTCCTGAAAGTGCAAGGAAAAAAATGTAAAATTGAAAAGACTGGGAAGAATGACCATGGTTGGAGCTGGTTAGGATATTGAGGCCATTCCTGCCTGGACAGGTCAGGATCCCATCGAGTCCAGAAGGACACTCTTCCAGTGTCCAACCTTGGTATGTACCAAACCTGCCCTATACATGAAACCCCTATCTCTTGTTTTTTTCAGTCCCTCATTCTCTCACTGTGTAGGAAGGGGGAAAGTGCAGGAGAAGTGTCACTAATGGCTTGCAGGTTGCTGGCCTGATCCCTGTCCCACTGAGTGTCTCGTTCTCTAGCTGAGCTTTGAAGCAGATCTCAGGAAGACAAGGTGATTCCCCTTTGCCATCTGTTTTTCCAAAAAGGCAATGATGTGCACAGCATGGGCCAGCAGCCCTCCTCCATCTTCTCCTTTGGAGGATGTGGTGTCAGTGGCAAAACCCACAGAGAGGTGATGGGGAACAGCTAGTGCAAAGACTGCCTCCATCCACAAAACCAGAGCAGCTCCTTCAGCAAGGGGTTCTTTCACTGCCCACAACTGAATACACTGGGAGCTGTTTTTCCATTACAGTTTTTCTAGGGTGGCCCCAGTTCACACTGCATGTTCTCACCAGTATGATTCACTTCTTCATCAGAAGCATAAGCTAAATATTTGCGTGAAGAAAGAAGAACATCTGAAGTGTCTGCATCTGGGATACTTCATTCCTGTAGCCGTTTACAATAGCTGCAAAACAGTTCTGAAATATTTATGTATTAAGCACTAGACTGGATGTGCAGCCTGATATTACCAGTTCCTCCATCCCTGCACTTAAAAGGATAACCAGCTACCATGGGCACATGCTTCCCAAATTATGATGTCAATGTTTGGTTGGGGTTTAATGATGAGAAGACATCACACTCAAATACCTGGCATTGTTTCCAACCACAGCTGGTTTTCAACATGAACGAAATAGAAATCGTGCTGCTTATCCAGAAGAGTGTTATTAAACATTCCCATGCATTTTTCCACACCCAGCCTGCACGCCTGTGCTTTTTGGGATACTGGTCTTCATCTGTGCTAGACTGGAATAGTTGTTGTCTTCTCAGGATCAGATTGGGCTTCCTGCTTTGTCCACGTACACATAGATGGAGCAACAGCTCCATCCTTTCACTGCTTTAATTTCATGCAGAGTAACTTGAGGCTGAATGTGGACCATGTTTTCTACTTGCAAAACTTCCTTTAGACACCCTGATCCTGTGTGGATCTGACTGCCACGTTCTCACTTCTTTCATCCCTGACTTGCAAGGCAGAGATCTCATTGGTTTCTCTAGAAACACCTTGGGGTTATCTTGTTTACACCAGCCAGCACAGCCAAATTTAAGTCATAGTGAGTTTGTAGCACAGAGTACAAATGTGTGTTCCAAGCACTAGAAAAGTATAAGCCCACACTTTGTGTGAGAGTTGAGTGCCATCCTCAGTTTTCTGCTGGACAGGGCTTATCCAAATGAGTTGTGTAGGAAGCCCACCCTCTCAACAGACAGGGCCAAAGAATGAGAAATGGCAGAAGAACTTAGCCATTCCTCCCCTACCATGCCAATAACCCACCGTGGCTGTTCATCTAAATGCTCTGAAAATGCTCACCCATTAGTTTGTTCAGTTCCCCTTGGGGCATGGCTCGGAAAGCTTCGTTTGTTGGAGCGAACACGGTGAAGGTACCCGGCCTGTTCAAGTTCTCCGTTAGACCTGCAGACTGGATTGCAGCCACCAACGTACTGCAAGACAAAAATACATAAAATGCTTCACTGTAAGTTACTTCTGGTGGTCATGTTGTGTTCAAAAGAGAGCTGTGAAGTTACAATTGCAAAATCCTGCTGGGGTCCAGCAAATCACAGAATCACAGAATTATTTGGGTCGGTAGGGACCTTAAAGGTCATCTAGTTCTAACTGCCCTGCCATGAGCAGGGACAATTAACCAAATCAATTAACCATAAAAGTTGATTAGGTAGGAAATGAGCCTGGGAGGTCCAACCAGAACATCTGAGTAATGGCAAAGCAAGCTGGGAATGCTGAATCATTGGGGACCACATGGTAGTGAGGAGACAGAGAGGGCTGGCCACAGTGGCTCTGATGGGCAGAGATGGCTTCAGAGCCAGCTTCTTACTGGATTAAGTGGGACCACACACAGTTCATTGAAGGGTTATTTGAAGTCTTGCTCCCTATAATTTAGGGATGAGACCATGGTTTTGGATGCTCTTTCTATGTTTAAAAAAATAATACATATAGTCATGACTACGACCCATAGTAAATAGAAACTGCTTTGGCAGCTCTTCTCCTAACTAGCACTTAAGAAGAGCAGAAAGGTCACCTGAAGCGATGGTCTGCCTTGAGAACATCCATCACTGAGCCCGACGGTGGAGTCAGCATTTTGTCCACACTAAACAGGGTCCCAAACCTTCCTCTCTTGTCATGGGCAGCAATGCAGGCATTTTCAATGCAAAGGTTCTGCAAACAAAATTGCACCAAAAAAAAAATAAATTTATTAACATACGCTTCAAAAGAGAGATTTTAATACTTTCCACAATGCTGATTTTATTAGCATATGCTTCGAAAGAGAGATTTTAATACTTTCCACAATGCTCAATTACACTTTTTACATGATATCCGTAACATTACAGACATCAAGCATCATTCAAGCAGGAACTTACGTTGCGGTACACAAAAACTCTCAGCTCCCTGTCACCAAGAGTCTGTAGTTTCTGCCCATGGTAAAGATATTTAGAGGAGAGCTGGTCTTTAACAATGTGGTTCAGAAGCAAGTTTTTCATGTTGCTGTCAACGGTGGGGAGTCCATCTACAGCAAAAGTATGGAAGGAACCAGTCATTCACTTAAAATGACCATTGAGACACTAAAAAAGTGCAAATACAGAGTATTATCTGCATCAGGTTTTAATTTTAAAGCTAGATGTCTGTAGCTGAGACATTGGAATGAGCATTTCCATGCTCCTGCACTGAAACTGGGCTGAAGACTGAAGCAGATCTGTGGCCCAAACGGATGGAAGAAGGGGCTTTACTCCCCGGTTTACCTTTGAACGCATCATTCACTGGGGCAAGGAGGGTCACTTGCTCACTGCCAGTTAGATGGGAACTGAGACCAGCTTGTCTGAAAAGGTCCATAGACTTGGAAACTTCAGATTCTTGTGCCAACTCAAACAGGGTCTTAGCTGAAAAGAAAAGCAACACATAGTAACCTTGCATTGAAGGCAATCCCCCATAACTACAAAATATCTACTTTCTCTAAATCCAGTATCTCCTTGGCAAAATAGACAAAAGAGAAGCCACAGAAAGAACGATGCAGAAAGAACAAACCAGTACCTGAGTCTGGGATCAGCAGCTCATTAACAAAATGTACGACGCCGTTGGTAGCCAGGACATCCTTGTTGGCAATGATGGCCTTCCCATTGAGGGTCAGCTCTTCCCCACTGCAGCCCACATCCAAGGTGGTTCCTTCCAGAGTCTCCATCGTCAGGCCAGCGATGATGGCCTCAGCACACATGGCTGACTTCAAGATGTGATGGTTCAGCAGGTCTGTAAGAGAAGCAAGTGTCTTAGTGAGCTGGAAAAATCAGCTATGAAATTATTGCATCTTTTAGGGGTCCTGTTCAACGGCAAGGGCCTCCTGCACAGCACTGTATATGGGGCTCCACTCCAAAAGATGTGAGTCATCTTAATTCAGTCTGGTTTTAATCCAGAAGCCTGGAGGAGTGCCTAAAAAGAGTAATTTTTATACACCTTTGTCAATTTCAAAAGGTTTTATGTGGTTATTTGACTCATCTGCTAGGGGCAGTTACATTGATTAGGTGCTAATTTTCTTGCATCTTGCTGGATTGATAGAAATCCCCATCACATATAGAAGTGCTAGAAGAAAACTTGGAAAAGGGACTGCTTCAGCCCTCTCCTCCATATCTGGATAACACTTTCTCTGCCACATCTACATGCCTACCATGTCTACATCCAGAGAAGTCTTGGCTCTCCAGTTTAAAAAGCTGGACCCTGTCAAATGTGTTTACTGCAGCTGGTACCAGAGTGTACCGAGGAGCTGTTCACATGCCCTGGAGAAGGAATTCAGAAGAACTGAATACCCTTCAGTCTCTCGATGGGCTCAGACTTACCCCTCAGGGCTTCTGGGTCCCCCAAGATCCTGTTCAGTGTTTCTCGTGGGATCTTCTCAAAGGCTTCATTGGTTGGAGCCAAGAGCGTGTACTGGCCTTCGCTTTCCAGCAAGCTGTTGAGGTCAGAAGCAGCCACAGCAGCCTTCAGAGGAATGAGAATAGAGGGTAAAACACATTCAGCCAGAATACAAAGGTCAGCAACTTTGTCCAGATGCACACTAAGGGCCAGATTTATTAAGGCTTTTATAATTTCAGAGGACTTACAAAAAAACATGAATAGCTTCTTTCAGCCCTTTGGTGCCTTTATAAATTTGACCTGGCCCCGTGGTTCTTTTGTGCTCCAGAAATTTGAGTACAAGAGTCCTTTTTTGGCAAAATTGAGTGCTAGTTCAAATACCCCAATATGCCTGGAAAGGGTCACAGCAGTTCCAGTGAAGAATTCAGATCAGAACCCACAGCTGGCTAAATGCAAAACCCTTGTGCTTTTTAAGTTATTCCTTAACTTGGCAGATATTGAGGCAAATAAATTGGTGGTCATAAAATCTGAACAGTTAATATCTCCTAAGGCTAAGATTCCTATAGAAGAGTGAGAGGCCAGACTCTGTCTACATCTCTTTACTGACAGCAATAGCAGGGCAACAATTATTCTTATAAAACCCTACTTGTGCTGATATCAAACGCTTCTCTTCCTAAAGTAAAATGAACGATATCGAGGCAAGGATCTTATCAGCAGCTTTAGGGTCACAGCACCCATGGACCAGAAAGCTCTTTGTGACAATTCACTGGGAGTGGGACGACTGACCATCTTTAAGGAGCCCTGGAGCACGCGTGGGGTGGACTCACCCGAAGAGTTTCCAGGCTGTCCTCAGTTTCGATGATCTGCTGGATGCTGTTGGTCGTGGTGGCGATGACTTTGTCGATGACGTGAACCACTCCGTTGGTGGCGTGGTGGTCAGCTTTCAGCAGCCTGGCACAGTTCACAGTCACAATCTGCAGAGGGAAAGAGCCACGGGGTGTTACGTGCACTCAAACAAGAAGGTAAAGCAGCCTCTGCTGGTTTTCCATTTCAAACGCAGCGAGCGCTGTAATATTGAACCAGCAGGAGCAGAAATGCGGTTTCCTAAAAAAACACACGGAGAATGAGAATGCTCTATCAAGAATGTTTGAAATGGTTCGTGTTTAAAGAGCTTTGAAAATAAGCAGTGGTTTTGTCTACCCTGCATCACCAAGACTAAGAAAATATGCAAAACCCAATACTCTAGGCGAGCAGACTGTTATACAGCAATTTGGCCAACTTCCCTTCAACAGCACCGATGAAACTATCTGCTTATAAATATTATTTACAAGCTCCTTCTAAATACATATCCTAAATCAACAGCTATCAACATAAGCATTGCAGAGTCCTAGAGGTCCAAGGAGAGTGTAGGAGGCACAAGGCAGCACAAAAGCAAGCCCCCTGTGGGTAGGTTTAATAGAAATGTCTTACCCCGTTGGGATAGTGGTGGATCTGGATAGGCAGGTCCTGATACATTGAGTTCAGTGTTGTCCCGTGTTTCAGATCATCCGTGAGGACCCGTTTGTCCACCATGTGGTAGCGAAGGGCATTGAGTAGCTCAATGTTAACATTACTGACTAAGGAATCCAGAGTTTCCTGAAAAATCAGAAAAATGCATCTTTCAGTGTTGACAAATACACTGGGAGACCTTCCCCAACAGCACTGTCCTCGCAAAAGGCTCAGCTGGTGGAGGTTTGGGGTAGAAGATTGGTAGTGGGGATAGCCAAAAAGAAGCCCCTTCCCTGCCCCAGTAACTGTTCTTGCATTTTTATGGAAAAGTGATTTAAATGTGGGCTGTAACTGGATAGTGTTTGTACAATTGGGACTCTCCCCAAGATGCTCCACTAGGGTCGGAGCACTGGCAGGACAGCAGTGACAATTTCAGGAGTGGAAATTTCACAAGACACAAAGTGAGAAAATCAAAACTGACGTAAAGGAGATTTATATGTAATGGAGCATAGGAACACACTGATGCAGAAAGGCTGCAGGTTTACAGAGGCTCCGGTTGGGACTGGCTACTGGTGCAAATTAGTAAGAACAACCAGAGTGGTTACCACCAGTAAGGGTCAACAAGAAAAACCAAAAGCGATGGAAAGTCTCTTGTTGTGGGTCTTACTGCAATCTCAAAAGGTAAGAAGCAGGGAAAACTGAATGAGGTGATTTTTCCATCCACCTGCTGGAGAACATCCACATCTATCTAGCGCTAGGTCTTTCAGAAACAAACCTCTTTAACTGATAGACCAGTACAGTTATATTCCTACAATTGCCATCACAGAAATTCAGAGTCTTTCCCACATCAGGACTGTCTGTTCCTGGACAGGAACTGGATTCAGAACCCTGCAGAGAGGAACCTCCACTGGAAAAAGCCAAAGGAAGAGGAAAAAGAAGAGGAATTATATCTTACAGCAGACAAAGATGCCCAGGCCTCATTACTCGGGGCAAAAATTGTAAAACTTCCAGGTCCTTCGATTTCTGGCCTTAGGTTAGACCGGTCAGAGTAGAGCTGTGTGGTGGCAGACCCAACAACTCCCAGGGTTTCGTAGATGTTGGAAAGCGGCAGCGCTGAAAGAAGAGAAGGTTATGTTCCCAACACATCATTCATCCTTCCTGCACTGCACTGAATTACAGGAGAGCTGCTGGTGAGAGCACGTGGGGAAGTGAAGCACGTCAGGGAACTCGTATCTGTTCATTAATTAGATAATAAATAATCATAGCCTGACAGCTCCAGCCTCCGTTACAGCCGTGTAATCCAGGCTCTCCTGCACCTCTGCAGGTTTAAATGGAGTTACTCTGGATTTATATGGGTGAGAATTGAGGCAAGCAAAGGTGTGCATTGCTTTCACCCACTCCTTGTTTGTGCTCGTGTTTTTGGTGTTGGGAGCTGGCAGTTCTCCACTGGTCTCCACTGACCCATCCACACCAGCCCACGTGGTTAACTGGGCGGCATCAAACTTTTGTGGAAGGAAGCGTTCAGAAAGCAAAAGCAGAATCTGTCTTTCTTCAATAAACCCACTTAATTCCCTCCCAACCCCCACCAGTGTGCCTGAACTCTATTTTCTCCTAAATGCAGTTTTGCTAACCTCGTGCTTGCCAAAACAAAAATGAGCAGGGATTGGCAGAGCTGTCTGCTACTCTATCCTTCCTTTGTATCGCCTTTCCAATATAACTATATTACTCTTCGGAATAAGTAGTTCCCCATGGCCCTCTCCTGCTTGATTAAGTTTAATTATAACCAAGGCTTTAAGTTGTCTGGAATATTTTGGAGCTGATCTGGCACTCAGCTGGTGCTCTGCTGAGTCCATTTTTGACGTGTTCAAGGCAATATTGTGCAAAAATTGCAAAAACGAAATCCACTTTGAGTAATTTTCTAACATTTCCCTTTACTAGGCAGCTGTATAATTTTAAGAAGTCTAAAAAATGTCAAACATATTTTTACCAGCTGGGCAGCCTTTTTCTCCAGGAACTTTTTCATATCCAGGACAGCACTCGTAACTGATTACTCTGCAATAAGAGATGGATATGGCAGATTAACTGACAGCGTCTCCTGCTTTTTTCCTATTTGCTATAGTTTTGGGGTTTTTTTTCCATCTATATTTGGTGATGCTTCTAAGCAGACTCTTCATTAGAAACACAGACTTGAACAAAAGACAAACCACAATTTTTATCTCCTTCAGGGCTGCATGTTGCCAATTTCTCCACAAACCAAAAGCAGACACAATTTCTTTTCAAAACCACGTTTTCCAGGAGACTTTGTGCAAACAGTGGATGGAAACCGATGTCACAGTCCCAACAAGATAACCTACGTGAGACGCTGCAAGCACTGGTTCATTTTGGGCACATTTCCCACGGGATTTGGGGATCTCCCCGGCTGACTGCTGCTGTCACATCTGATCACTGTTGGGGCAACACATCACAACTCCAGTTACAGCTGCTTGGCCAAACCAGCCAAGCCTTTCCCCTTCATTTCACCCCTTTCCTGTCCACCACCAGAAATTATTTGTTTGCTTATGGCAAAATCCACAAGACAGCCCTGGATGGGAAGGAGCATCCTTGGTCTTGGATGCACTGGCAGAAGGGCTTGGGATAAAAGTCCCACCAAGGACAAACTTCACTGGTGGTGGCACGTGCCTCCATGGGCACACTGGGCAGTACTGCAGCTCACCCATCTTTGCTAACGTTGGATATGTCCGTGTACCCTCAGCACAGCATTTGCTTCTGGCTGGCAGCAAACCCTGCTGCTCTGACCAAGCACCATCCCCTGGTAAAACCACAGGGGTGACAGACCCCATCCTGGGGAATCAGGGCTGTCCTGCAGATCTGCAGACCCCAAATAAGCAAGAGCCTCCTGAATATTGCATCCATCGTCAGCAGTTCAATGGGATTTGAAGGTCATCTGATTGTCAAAGCTGGCCATTTGAGGGAGTACGTTTTGATTTTAACAGGAGGGAAAAGGGAAAAAAGGGGAAAAGGGAAAAAAGGGGAAAAGGGAAAAAAGGGGAAAAGGGAAAAAAAATCAATCGAGAAGTTGCCCATTTATTTCTCACTGGGGACTCTTTCACCTTATGCTTGGTGTGAAAGAAGCAAGGCCATCTGATTGATGGGCTAAGAGAGGGAGGGAATAGGTGTTCCTCCCAAAGACAAGCGTTTCCTCTGTGCTCCTGGTTGGATTGGAGACAAGTAGGATGCTGTAGCGCTGAGCCTCAGCACACTCACTCAGAGAGAAAGGAAAATCCTCAAGCTTCAGATATTTGTCATCATTTTAACACTGTTAACAAACAGTGGAAATGCCTGGGGTTTAAGAGGGAATTCTTCAGGGTAATTAAGAGCCAGTAAGTGAAACAAATACCTGCTTTTCTGTGACAGAAGCAAATAAATTCTGTGTCACGGTTTCCTAAGAGAATTACAAAGCAAACCCAGACTGATTGTCTAGACATTATATATTCCATGTGGGAAAGAGTTTGCCTAAAGCAATCCCTTCCTTTGACTACTGGAGATCTTAACACCCTGCTGCTCCACTTTCCCCAGCCCCCCCCGTCTCGTGTTCATTAGAAACACACATTTTCTCCCCCCACCACTTCCCTCCCCTACCTCCGATTTTTCTTTTTTTCACCCTAGAAACTAAATCCAGTCTAGACAGTTCCCCTGGTTCAGACCTGTAATCAAAGACGAAGAGCTGATTAAAGAGAAATCATTCCAAAGTTCAGCATAAGTAATTCCTGAGTGCTGACGTAGGCTTTAAAAGGCTTATTTATAGATCGATCGGAGATTAATGAGCTGTGACGAAGGGGCAGGAGGCTGATGCACTCAGCCTGCAGCGCAGGGAGCTCGCTGCCTCGGGGCTGCCCCAGCAGCCAGGCGCCTGCCGGGAGGGGAGGGCACTGGGAAGGGATGGAGGGACCACATCGCCTGCTTTTCAGCAGGTTCATGGGCATCTCCAGCACCATCCCACAAGGGAGGAAGCCCAGAGGCCAGTAATGGAGCCAGCTCCACCCATGCAGGGGCTTTTCCAAGCCCCAAGTCTCACTCGCCCACTGAAGTTGACATGCCAGCATCATCTGGCATTTTGAGTTGAGCACCAGAAAAGTTCTGCAAAGGGCCAGGTGAACGCAGAGGTGCTCAGCCAAGTCAGCAAACACTTGGCTTTTTTACACCTATAAGGACAGGGTTTGTAAAAACAGCTTCAGCTTCAGTCGTTTGCCCCACCATGTCTGGTGGGTTTGGTGGAAACACAAGGAAACACAAGACCACCCAACCCACCCAGAGGCAAGCACCAGAAAAGTTCTGCAAAGGGCCAGGTGAACGCAGAGGTGCTCAGCCAAGTCAGCAAACACTTGGCTTTTTTACACCTATAAGGACAGGGTTTGTAAAAACAGCTTCAGCTTCAGTCGTTTGCCCCACCATGTCTGGTGGGTTTGGTGGAAACACAAGGAAACACAAGACCACCCAACCCACCCAGAGGCACATGGGCATCATTCAAGAGGTCGCTCAGGGCTGGGAGAAGGGCATCCTCCCCGCTGGTCCTGCAGCCACCTCCAGCCCTTGGGGAGGAGCAGCACAGCCATTTCTGAAGGCTGCTCTGCCCCACATGCAGGACTCTGCATCTCAATGCTACAGGACCCTACACATCCGTATGGGATGAAGGCTGCTCCTTTGACATGTCCTCCTCCAGTTGGGTCGGAGCCACAGTCTGCTGACCAGGGAGGAGCATTTATTTGACACCATCGGGGGCAAAAAGCTCATGGGAGAGAATGTGGAAACCTCACAACCACTGCACCATGTACCAGGTTCTGCACAAAAACCCTTTGGAGTTGCCAAGTCCATCCCCGTTCCTGGTGCCTGCTCAACAGCTACACACCACTACGCTGGGACACGGCGGGTGCCAGCGATGCGGGTTAAATCAGCAATGCCCTCCTACAAAGAGCATGAGTCATCCGCTCTGCAACCCCTCTGCCCACAATTTCCTGACCTCCTCATTGAGTAATTTCAAGTCACATCTCTTTTTTCAGCCACTGGTTTGCAAACGTTGTATTTCTGAAACGTCTATCTGTGTCTGACGGCAGAAGCAAGCTTCCTGGCTTTTATTAGTCATTGTTTCACTGCTGGTGCAGTCTTAGGGTCTGAAATTAAATTTTAAGTGCATTTTTCAAGGTAATAAAAATAAGCTTAGGCATATATTAGTGAATAAAGATCCATTTGTAATAATTTCCTGTAATAAAATCCATATGTTTTGTTTTTGTAAAATAAGTGCCAGAGAGTAATTTTTTTTTCCCCCCGAACTGAGGAAAGTACATCAGACAAGAAAAGGAAAGTTAATTTAAAAGATAAAAAAAAGAAGGAGAATGTATTAAGGGGAAACTTACTGCCACTAGTTATTCATCAAAAATAATCATAGAAGGAGAATGTATTAAGGGGAAACTTAACTGCCACTAGTTATTCATCAAAAATAATCAAAAACCAAATTTCTGTAAGTTGTCTTTTCATTCTCAAGACAAAAAAGTGTGTGGGGACGCCTTCAATTGCAACCCCAGTGCTGGAAGAATGAGTCCTGTGCATAAGGGAGATAGGAAAACATAAAAAAACCACAGGCACAACGATGAGAATATACTCTAAATAAACTATTTCTTTGGCTTTGGAATAACCAACAGTGGAAAATTACCTAATTACCAAAACAGTCTTGTTTCAGTGCTCATTAAAATCAAAGCAGTGTCAGACTTGTTGCCAACTGTCTTATCTCACTTCATCAGCAAGTAATGCAACGATAAAAAATGTACATAAATCCTCTATCTAATTTCTCCCTGACTGTGTGAGCCAATACCTCAGCAAAGAGAAGAAAAACAAAGAAAAAAGCAGGAAAAAATCCTGATGCATGAAATGAAATTTCCATCAAGAACATCCAGCCTCAGTAGAGCATTTCACCTCCATGGACCAAAAGATGCTGCTCAAGAGGAATGCCTGCAGAGCCTCACCAGCCCCTGCCTCACAACCATGACCTATTTGTTTCTGGTGAGAGCTATGGAGCTCTGAGTTGATGTACCTGGAGACAAGACCAGGTTCATCCAGGTCTTCTAAGCTAGCTTTCCTTGCTGGTGCAGTCACTCTGCAGGAGCTCAGCTTTGCTTCTGTGCAGTACCTGGTCTCTCACTGATCTCCCTCCCTCCTACTTATTTGAAACAGTGCTCAGAGCAGGAAAAGCAAATAAATCAAAGCAGTCAAAACTATCTTCCTAGAGCTAGGTATTGGTACCTGCAGCACGCATCCAGCTTGTGGCACCACTGACCCTTTAAGCAACTGAGAAGGATAACAGACAGGTTAAATGTGAAGTAGGTGAGATGGGTCAAGTGTCTCCTATCCCAGGTGGTGTCACAGGTGGGAAAAACCTCTTAGGAGGAGGAGGGCAATGACCATGCTCATCCCAGCTCCACCATCTCACCTGAGCTGATGGCGTGGATCCTCCTGCCAAGAAGAGGACAAAGCTCACAGCTTCAGGAGAGGACTTCTGACCTCAGATCTCAAGCAAGGGCTGGATCCACCTGGTTATGCTGATGAACATGCCAAATCCTGACTTTTTCTGGGATTTAAAGGCAGCTGGTGTTCTCAAAACCTGTCATGGACCAGCTCAGTCCCATAAAACAGGCCGGTTTTGAGGGTTCATGCTGAGCACCATGAACTGTGCCCACACATGTTCTTGGGTGCTGATGCCCTGAGCACACCACAGCATCAGGCCCCTGACACTGGTTTAAGTATTTGACTGCTGCAGCAAAACACATTGTGTCCTTTATGGCCCAAATGTCTCCTGATTGCTTCCATACGCCAGGAACATCATGTCCAGTGGGAGCCATCACCAGCAAACATTTGTAATCAGAGCTGTCCCAGGGTCCTCCGGAAAATGTGAGTCAAGGCACACGTCTTTTGTTCGGCACAAGCACTGCTAAAGGGCAAAGTAGGGCTCAGGCTCAAAGATGACTAGGAAAGGAGAAGAAGACAATAATAGCCATTGTGGAGGTGATGCAAAGTGAAGAATAGCGAGCAAATTCCGTGTATAATGGGAACATTAGCTCATAGGTTAACAGGCAGGTTAACGCTGTGTATGCTTTTCTCTCAGCGATGCATCATTGGATTAGATACTTGAATAAAAGCAGAGAAAATAAGGTTAGAAGAGACCATCCCCTCTCCTCCAATGAAATCATGAAACATTGCCAGATGCTAGTTGTTCCACCTCTTTCTGGGGATAAATGGATGAGTTTGTCAAGTACAACTGCACACTTGGGTTACTTGAGCTTAGTTTCTCATTTGCTTCAGAGCTGAAGAAATCTGTGGCTGGATCGCTTTGCCTTTCAGTGCTTCTAACAGCAAAGCCATCCCACATCCACAGCTGAGTCATGTTTTCTTTGGAGACGTACTAAGCTACTCTGTTATCAGAAGAGGCAATGATGATTCCATACTGCCATTCCATAATCTTGTCCATTTTACGTCAAAAAAATCCACCATTTGGCCAAGATGAGAGCCTGAACTCTAAACACCCAAATAAAATCTTCCCACATTTGGTGGTTTGGTAAAATTAAAGGGAGGGAGCTGTTTGTTTTTTACAACATTGCCTCTCCTTTTTGTTCTTTTTTTTTTCCTCCTGTAAAGACAATTGGACATACGGGAAACCACGATACATCCTCACTGTATGGTAGTGCAATATATCCTCCTGAAGTACACAATTTTCCTCTTTTAGAAGAATTAATGGGTAGCACGATGAAAGGCTGAAGTCCATGCACAGTGACAATTCTTGTTTGGCCCTCCCTCCTCACAACACCAACACCAGACACATGAGACAAATGCCAACGGCCAAATGAATCCCATCACAGCCAAACCCATACGGGCAACCAAAATAAAAGCTTATGACAGTTCAAGATCTCAACATCTGCTGTTTACTACAGCAACAGAATTTATTTAATGTGCAATAAAAATCAGTATGTTCCTAAAGATCTAATTACAAATTACATTGGACCATACCAGAAATGCATGAGATGATTTTCTGCTGTTTGTTCTTCTTGACCCTGCAGATCCAGGACCAGGCTCTGCTCCCCACGGCCAGGGACATTCAGGGCTTCTTTGCATCGATACTGGGTAATGTGGTGGTGTGTGCTAAAGTGTGGGCCAGCAAACGTGTCTGAAAGCCCAGTTTGGCCTACACCAAGGAAAAAGATTCTCTGCTCCTGATCTACAGCCTGGCAGATAGTCAAGCATGCATCTCCTTAATTATCTGCTGACTACATCTTTCAAAAGAATGTCCCGAGGCTGCTTACACAGATACTTTACGCAACAGCTACTTGAATATTATTGTTTGCACTTTTAGACGTGGAATTGGCCTGCAAGTCTAATTAACTTTCCTGGTGGAGTCATCAGAGAGCGTTGGCTAAAACCGACACCTCTTTCTCCTTATTTCTGTTTTTCCTTCCAAAGCAAACATGTGTAGCTGAATTTTACGTTACCTCCACTATCCATCAGCTCTGGGTTGCCCTTTCCCCCACCCCCTTTTTTTTTTTTTAATCTAGGCAGCATTGAGCCTGAGCATTGAGCATGAGAGACCCAGTGAAATAGGAGAAAACATCTGGTACATGCTTCATGACAGCATTGAGAGCTACATAAGTATACATAGAAATGCAATTAGAATAAACCATCAGGGCTTGTATTGACATGGTACTTTCCATTCTTAACATCAAAGTGTTTTGGGATTATGTTTGCTGTTTGAGAGGAAAAAAAATAAGGCACAAGTATTTCTTCAGGAGTAAAAGGTTATAAAAAAGAAATTCTTCAGATGTATACACGTTAAGCCCACGCTGTGGGCTCTGACACCCCATGTCTGTCACATTGTCTCCTTCTCCCACCCAGCACCCACCTCCTCGACAGGGTGTCTGGGGAGACCCCGGCCGGCGTTGGGTACTTACGTTGCCTTCCCACAGATCTTCCTCTGGTACCACTGCTTGCAGTTGGTGAAGTATTTCCTGTTGGTGCCGATCAGCTTCTGCACCGCGCACACGTTGGGGCTACAGGTGACAACAAAGCAGAAGAGGGTCTGGTAAGCCTCCCTCCTCTCAGGACTGACCCCCCAGCACAGAGCCAGCCCCCGCCTGACAGCAGCCAAAAAGCCCCGTTGGGGTTGCAAGGGAGGGAACTTGGAGAGCCTCAAGTCAACTTGCTAGATCTGACAGTATAATGACTAGCGTGGAGTGGAGGAAGCAGTGAAAGAGGTCTCTCTTCACTCTGCCAGGGTAACTCTTTCCTCACAGAGTGAAAATCTTGACTTTTCACCAAAATACCAAGAAATTAAGTTTAAAATAATACTTCGGTCAGTATTTTTATGGTGAACAGCTACTTACAATTTGGGATCTCAGCTAAAACCTGGAAAAGTTATGCAATAGTTCAAATCCTTCCCCCCAAAAAGCCATTATTTTATTGTTTAGGACATAAAGAAGGACAGATGCTTACCAGCCTATGGACCAACTTGTACCAAAACCAGAAGGGGTACTTTTGCTGTATGATAGCTCATTCTGGACATGGACATTTAGCTTCTGAGGGGGAAAATGAGCAAGTGGCACTGCCCACTCCGGCTTCAACACACCAGGTATGAGAGCACAGATAGACAGGGGCTGTCATAGGGTACCGAGAGCTGCTTCACAACCAGAAAAGTAGACACTTGGTGTCACACGTGTGAATAACCCCACCAAGAGCTGACTGCAGCCTTACAGCTTTCTAAGAAATGGTATCACAGCGACTAAAGATGTGGTCAAACAGGAGCTGGGAGTTTACTTTCCACTGGTTTGGCCAGCACAACATTTCCCCGCTCAGCCTGGCTCATCATCTCCATGGCCTGTGGCCAGCAGCCCTGGCCATGGATGTGGGCAGTGATGAGATATGATTTATGGATCTGGGTTGCAAGGCCACTGACTGCCCCTGGGCTTGCGTCAGAGGTGCAGCAAACACCCAAGCGAGCTGGGGATGCTCAGCTCAACTGAGACTGGGTTCCCATCACCAACACCACGGGCAGCGGCACCGAAAGTATGCGCAGTATTGGCTGCCAGGCAGATGGAGGGAAAACAAATAATTAAGCAAAATACGTAAGTCATCGCTCCAGCCCGTCAGACGTGCTCTGCACCATCCAAAGCAGAGTTCTCATTTGTGCAAATGAAACTCCAGATGGGGCCTGGAGATGCCGTTGAAAAGGTCTTGTTGATCTGTTTAGAAAAACAGACAGCAGCCTCTTTCATGCTGGGTCTGACCGAGGGGCTGCATCTGCTGTTTACTACAGCAACAGAATTTATTTAATGTGCAATAAAAATCAGTATGTTCCTAAAGATCTAATTACAAATTACATTGGACCATACCAGAAATGCATGAGATGATTTTCTGCTGTTTGTTCTTCTTGACCCTGCAGATCCAGGACCAGGCTCTGCTCCCCACGGCCAGGGACATTCAGGGCATCTTTGCATCAATACTAGGTAATGTGGTGGTGTGTGCTAAAGTGTGGGCCAGCAAACGTGTCTGAAAGCCCAGTTTGGCCTACACCAAGGAAAAAGATTCTCTGCTCCTGATCTACAGCCTGGCAGATAGTCAAGCATGCATCTCCTTAATTATCTGCTGACTACATCTTTCAAAAGAATGTCCCGAGGCTGCTTACACAGATACTTTACGCAACAGCTACTTGAATATTATTGTTTGCACTTTTAGACGTGGAATTGGCCTGCAAGTCTAATTAACTTTCCTGGTGGAGTCATCAGAGAGCGTTGGCTAAAACCGACACCTCTTTCTCCTTATTTCTGTTTTTCCTTCCAAAGCAAACATGTGTAGCTGAATTTTACGTTACCTCCACTATCCATCAGCTCTGGGTTGCCCTTTCCCCCACCCCCTTTTTTTTTTTTTAATCTAGGCAGCATTGAGCCTGAGCATTGAGCATGAGAGACCCAGTGAAATAGGAGAAAACATCTGGTACATGCTTCATGACAGCATTGAGAGCTACATAAGTATACATAGAAATGCAATTAGAATAAACCATCAGGGCTTGTATTGACATGGTACTTTCCATTCTTAACATCAAAGTGTTTTGGGATTATGTTTGCTGTTTGAGAGGAAAAAAAATAAGGCACAAGTATTTCTTCAGGAGTAAAAGGTTATAAAAAAGAAATTCTTCAGATGTATACACGTTAAGCCCACGCTGTGGGCTCTGACACCCCATGTCTGTCACATTGTCTCCTTCTCCCACCCAGCACCCACCTCCTCGACAGGGTGTCTGGGGAGACCCCGGCCGGCGTTGGGTACTTACGTTGCCTTCCCACAGATCTTCCTCTGGTACCACTGCTTGCAGTTGGTGAAGTATTTCCTGTTGGTGCCGATCAGCTTCTGCACTGCGCACACGTTGGGGCTACAGGTGACGACAAAGCAGAAGAGGGTCTGGTAAGCCTCCCTCCTCTCAGGACTGACCCCCCAGCACAGAGCCAGCCCCTGCCTGACAGCAGCCAAAAAGCCCCTCTGGGGTTGCAAGGGAGGGAACTTGGAGAGCCTCAAGTCAACTTGCTAGATCTGACAGTATAATGACTAGCGTGGAGTGGAGGAAGCAGTGAAAGAGGTCTCTCTTCACTCTGCCAGGGTAACTCTTTCCTCACAGAGTGAAAATCTTGACTTTTCACCAAAATACCAAGAAATTAAGTTTAAAATAATACTTCGGTCAGTATTTTTATGGTGAACAGCTACTTACAATTTGGGATCTCAGCTAAAACCTGGAAAAGTTATGCAATAGTTCAAATCCTTCCCCCCAAAAAGCCATTATTTTATTGTTTAGGACATAAAGAAGGACAGATGCTTACCAGCCTATGGACCAACTTGTACCAAAACCAGAAGGGGTACTTTTGCTGTATGATAGCTCATTCTGGACATGGACATTTAGCTTCTGAGGGGGAAAATGAGCAAGTGGCACTGCCCACTCCGGCTTCAACACACCAGGTATGAGAGCACAGATAGACAGGGGCTGTCATAGGGTACCGAGAGCTGCTTCACAACCAGAAAAGTAGACACTTGGTGTCACACGTGTGAATAACCCCACCAAGAGCTGACTGCAGCCTTACAGCTTTCTAAGAAATGGTATCACAGCGACTAAAGATGTGGTCAAACAGGAGCTGGGAGTTTACTTTCCACTGGTTTGGCCAGCACAGCATTTCCCCGCTCAGCCTGGCTCATCATCTCCATGGCCTGTGGCCAGCAGCCCTGGCCATGGATGTGGGCAGTGATGAGATATGATTTATGGATCTGGGTTGCAAGGCCACTGACTGCCCCTGGGCTTGCGTCAGAGGTGCAGCAAACACCCAAGCGAGCTGGGGATGCTCAGCTCAACTGAGACTGGGTTCCCATCACCAACACCACGGGCAGCGGCACCAAAAGTATGTGCAGTATTGGCTGCCAGGCAGATGGAGGGAAAACAAATAATTAAGCAAAATACGTAAGTCATCGCTCCAGCCCGTCAGACGTGCTCTGCACCATCCAAGGCAGAGTTCTCATTTGTGCAAATGAAACTCCAGATGGGGCCTGGAGATGCCGTTGAAAAGGTCTTGTTGATCTGTTTAGAAAAACAGACAGCAGCCTCTTTCATGCTGGGTCTGACCGAGGGGCTGCTTGCTTGCCTACCAAAATTAACAAAAACAGAGTTTGTACCCTGACCACCAAGTCATCCTGCTGCCGTACTTGCTTCTCACTGGCATTCCATATTTGTCTCTCTCCAAAACAGACCAGCCTGCCCATCGTTAGTGTGAATTAAAGCAAGGGTCTCCTATATGTTGGCTAACTCCTGCGCTGGTCTCAGCAGGAGCTTGGCTTGCCTTCAATGAGCCTTTGTTGGTGTGGCTGCTACGGAGGCAGGATCCCACCCTGTGCAGCCCCAGCACCTTCGTCCTGCCCCGAGGGGAAAGTGAGGGCCCCAGGGACCCACAGGAATTAGGCTCATCATTTCCCTCATTACTGCCATACCCAGTAATGGTAGTTTGTGTCTGCACTAAAAGCATTTATTTCCCTTTCTATATACAAGGTGAGGGGCAGGGAGAAAGAATCTACTGAAAAAAAAAAAAAAAGTTAGAAATCACAAAGCCAAACTTTCAGCTGGTGGCAAACTGGCCCGGGCTCAATAATTTCCACCCCAAATCATCGCTTAGAGAGACGTCTGTGCTCTCTGACTCAGCCCACCTCGGCTACCCTGGCCCCGCCGCCGCACCGAAATATGGTTCCAATTACATCGAAATTCCAAACCTTGCCTCGATTTCAGCGTCTGGCTGACGGCAGTGGACAATCCCTCTAATATTCATCTTGACAAGCCTGGCTACTGAAGGACTTGTTTGATCATTTCCCCCGTATCCCCGGGAGCAGCCTGCCAAGAAAACCCTTGCGCCTTCAGGACGGCGTTGAACCCGGCGCTGCCTTGCTCCCTCCTCCCTACCCGGGACAGCAGATCCATGGGACTGCTGCTCCCTCGCTGATTTATCAGGGAAAACTTCTTCCCAGTTTTCCCTCAGGGTGGAAAAAAATCCCCCCCCCCCCAGGGCCGTGTTATCAATGATTCCCACAGGCAGGCTGTAGTAGCGGCTCCCCGCGGTGCGTGTTCTGGTCCTTTGCCCAGTCTGGCTTAAAATGAATTTGTCAACACTCTCCCCTCTCCTCGTTGGAGTTCATCACCTCTGCCATGCCGTTCCCAGCCAGCCGCCCTGACTCGAGGATAAAACTGCCTATTGTTCCCCTTCAGCTGAAGCCTTCCACTTGGCAGGCAGCAGCTGGGAGCTGCTGGGGTAGGGGCTGCCTTTGGGAAGGGGCAGAGAAGAGCAGGATCTACCCTACAGCCCCAACTACTTGCCATCACCACGTCCATGAAGCCCCCCTCAGCATCACGTAGTGCCCACAAAGCCAAGCATCCTCCCAGGTTTTCATCTTCAAATATTACTGTTCCTTACATACTTCTCAGCTCCTTTCCCAGACATGAGCTGATTCGCTTTTTTTAAGAAAATTAATGAAGATGTACAAGTTTTGCTGCAGAGCCAAGCTCTGCCACCCAACTCGCTCTCAGCTCAATGGGAGCATTGATGGTGGGGGGAGGATGCTCACAGCAGAAAGGGTGGCAATCCTCCTAGCACATCCCTCTGGAGCTCCCTCCCTGAGCAAAACAACACGCCTCACATCCAAGAACTTTTTGGGCTGGTTTTGTGTCGCTGTATCTTTTTGGCCCATCACTACCCAATGTTCAAAATTCAGTTGACGTTTAAAAATTTAGCTCGGTATAAACCGCTTTCTCCGTCAGAAAGTGACCAGTGAGCAAAATGCTGCAGCTGGATTTATCTCAGCGTGACTTCACTTCATCTGGAAGCCTTGGCATACTGATTCCTTGCCCCTCTCAAAGATTTCAGGCACCAGCACATGGACTGCAATCACATCTTACCTCTATTACCTTGTGCCTCCATTGATTGTACAGGGAGTAACAGGCTTCTCTCTGCAGAGACGACTGCACTGATTTACACTGGGACTGCACTCACTTCCCCAGTCTGAGCAAACTTCTGCCCCAGGGCTATCAGCAGAACTGGATATTTACTTAGTTTCAGATCACATAGAGAGGAAGGGCAAGACTCACTCTATTTGCATGTTAAGTCACTGTAATTCTGTCATTACTGAGGTTTTACAAATAGATATTAGCCCAGAATTTGTCTGCTGGGTTCTAGACCTGATAGACACATAAACAGCATAGCCCTTCTCACTGGGACCTGGATCCCTGCCAGGTAATGTATCAAACTGCAATATTTCAGTCTTTTTCTTTTTTTTTTAAAGCGTTCCATGACCCTGCCTTCAGCAACCCATTTAAATGGAAGCTACAGTTCAATCAATGTCACCCTCCTGAGAGACAAAAGCCAGCTGAAAGGTCCGGCATCCCTTCACCCTTCCTACTTCCCAATAAATTTTAAAAACACTGGGATTAACCTTGGATTAGTCTCCTACCTATCAAAGAATATTCAAACTACTCAATCCATACCATATTGTCCATTTAGAGAGGTCTACATGCACTTCTATTTTTTAATATTCCTTATCTCAGGAGGTTTATGAGTAACTAAGCGATTACTTTTGTCAAGAAAACTTTCAAGACTTACTGGGGTGTTTCCAGTTAAGAGTAAGCTGGTGCCCACCCCACAGAGACACTTCTCTGCCACTGAACCACTTTTTCTTTCTTTTTCTATAAATTCACGAAAGCGAGAATTCCTTCCACAAAATGTTTAACCGTTCGAAATCTGTGGGGTTTCCCCCCCTCCCGCCCCCTTCCCCTTTTTTTTCTTAACGGGGATAGACCGATAAAAAATCAGTGAGGGGTCTAAAACGCCATCTGGGATATTAAGCATCCTGAGGAAGGAAGTTATCCAGAGAAAAAAGAAAAAAAAAAGTTATTCCAGGATGAAAGAAAAAGTCGTTATCTGAGGAAGAAAGGAAAAGTCTTATCCGAGGAAGAAAGAAGAAGTCGTTACCCAGAGAAGAAAGCCCCCCAGCCCGAGTTTCCCCGCGGGCAGGGCCGAGCTGCGGGATGCCCCGAGCTGCGGGATTCCCCGCGGCGCCTCCGCACCCGCGCAACGGCCGGAGCCCGGCGGCGGCGCACGGAGCCGCGACCCATTGCGGGACCGCTTCCCGCCGGGATTTGTGGAAAAATACGGCGGGGGAGGGGAGGAAGGGGAAAAAAGGATTTCCCCCCCCATTCCCCTTCTTTTTTTCTTCCCCGGCGGGGGGTGGCGGAGAGCCGCGCTCCCTCCGCGCTTACCCGTGCTGCCGGCCGCGGAGCCGGCTGTGCTGCAGGACCTGCTGGTACGGGGACTTGGCGGCGACGGCGAGACCCAAGGCCAGGGCCAGTAAGAGCAACGAGGGGCTCGCCATGGCCGGGAAGCGACGGGATGGGACGGGACGGGCCGGCGGCGGCCGCGCTCCCCCGTTAAATGCGGCGTCGGGCTCGGGGGCGGGGAGCGGAGCGGGGGGGAGCGGAGCCGCCGCCCGGCCCGGCCCGTTCCCGGAGGGAGGGGAGGGGAGGAGAGGGGAGGAGAGGGGGCCGCCCCCCGGGAAGGGCATCCATCCATCCGTCCATCCATCCGTCCGTCCCCCCACCCACCCGTCTGTCCGTCCGTGCCCCGCCGCTGCGGGAGGCAGGGGTGTCCTCCCATCCTCCCGTCCAGCTCCCACTTCCATCCCCAATTCCTTCTTCTTCTTGGACTTTTTTCCCCTCCATCCTCCTCCCACCCCAGCCGGCACTCAGAGCAGGGCGGTTGGACTGGAACCATGGACCCCAACCTCTCTGGGACCCCCCCACCCCACCCTGGGGAGCTTTCCTGGCTGCTCTGCCCCACAGCTTGGTGGAATGCCACCCCTGATACCTTCTTAGCGCCTTCTGGCATCACACCACCCCCTCCCAGCATCTTCCAGCACCATCACGGGTCACACATGTTTGGTTGAAACCAAAGCAGGAGCCGTGAGGTTGCCATCAATATCCCCCTTGGCCACGTTGCTTGAGTTTACAATACGTTTTGGGGGTGAGTTTTGTGGCCAGCCACACACCACCCCATTGCTCTGAAGGGTCACAGACACCAAGGTGCTGGTCGGTCCATCATGGCTGGTGGGACAGGCCCCCAGGAGCATCCATCCTAGCAGCTCCTGTGGGAAAGCCCCATTCCAGCCAAGGGCAGAGAGGGGTCCGTGGTGCTTGTAAAGGTAACGGCAGCAGAGGAGTCAAACCCTCACTTGAGGCTGTCATCACCACGGGCTTCCCCGAAGAGAGCTCTGGCAAAAGTCCTAAAGAGGCCAAAATGTGGGTGAAGCACAAGCAACTGAGGTCCTTTGGGCACTAAGGGACAGGGAAGACTCGAAGTCACCCGGTCCCCAGTTCATCCAACCTGACTCACCGCAGCATCCAGTGTTTATACTGGTTTTGCTCTGACTGGACTGACACCAAACTCAAAGGGCTCTTTCCTCCCTAAATCCTCCTGGGAAGCAGAAGGGGTCTTTTGTGGCCACTTGCCCTTAGGGACAGGCTTCTGCAAAACCCTGGTGTTGGCTTTGCAGACTGGGCAGTGGCCAGAAAGGGCAGCTGCTCTGTAAAGGATGGGAACTGAAACACATCCAGTGAGCAGCCACCAAGCCAAACAGAAGAAATCTTTAGCAGTAATAAACACTTTGAATTTACAAAGATTTCCCCCCCCCC